ATACAATACCAGAAATGTCCTATTATTATTTAGATATGTTAGAAACGCCGAAGTCCTCGAACCCAGCAACAGCAAGCTTATCGAAAACCTGGAGGGGCGCAAAACAGAAAACGTGAGTGGGCAAAAACAAATGTTTTACAAAACCATTTCATTTATCAACATATCTAACCCTTCACTATAAAACATGTATAATTTTTCCCAGAATCAAGATATATGCATATACATAAATATATATATATATATATATAATTATATCAATTCAAACCATGCTTCACATAATCATTTTCATAAGTATGCCATGCCAAAATATAACAGAGTAAGCAATTCAAGTAAGAATAATTTCATAGAAATATAACATGTTAGTCGGAACCCTTGTGGTAATCTGTACGGCTGAATTCATAGCTCAAAAGTCAATCTAGCCGGAGTCAATACAATGACCTATACGGCAACATACTGCACAAGAGTCAGAGCCAAATGAAAAGGTCTGTACGACAATAATGGGTGTAATATAATCATGCTCAACACTACTCTCACATAATAGTTGGGCGATAAATCGCTAGTCACCTACGAGTCGGAACCATAAATAAGGTCTGTACGACAAGGCTATGCACCTAAATTGGATCCAATATGAGCATATGGTGCGGGAGGTGACATACTAAACAGGCTTGTGCCAAATCTCTGGCTAAATCACAATCACCCTAGGTGCAGTTTTATGAGTTCAACATTATTCAATCACATATCGCATCATTGACAATTCGCATAACCCAATATAACTCACCTGAGCTTAACTGAGCGTCCACAACACCACACACACACACACACACACACATATAAAGCATCATATACTAATTCATATGCTGAATATAAATTTATATGCATGGCATTTCAAAGCATACTTTCATTTAAATGCATTTTCTGGGAAAATATCAAGTATATAAGTATATACTGAAAACCAAAAGCCCACTCACTGGTATGTCGAAGGATCGTAGCCCCCGAGTCACCCTTGAATGCGCTCGTCCTCGGGATAAGTCTCACCTATATGCGAATTAACTATAAAAATGTTATTTTAGAGCACATACACAAAACTAGTTAATAACTTCTCATACAATGCTCAATTTTGGTATTTGAATATACCACAGTGACCTACACAACCTCAGGATCATCTCCAAATTTTTAGAATAATTCTTGGACCCCTCAAGCGCCGCCAAGGCCACGGCCCTACGCGCCCCCACGCGCGGCCACGTGACAAGCATACTGACGACATCAGTCAACACCGTCAGGAATATTCTAGGGAATATTCCATTAAAATCCAACGGTAATTGTTAAAGATGACTGACGGCGTTAGCTTATTCCGTCAACCTTGACGGAAGATACTCCTTTCTTCTCCGGCGACTTCGCTGGTTTCTAGGTAAAACTTTAAAACCACTATTCTCTTTCGTTTCTTCACCATTTTCCACAAAATTGGTACCAAAATGAAGCTAATAGCATGCAAAATCACGTTATACAAGTTTCAAGGCTTAAAATCTACTAGGTTTTCCTCGAGAAAGCTTGATAGTTCGGCTTACCTAGATATACATCGATCTCAGCCTTCCGATGTCCAATTTCTTCCAACGAAGTACCCTGAGACTCGTGAGGACCTCCTTAAGCTTCCTATAAACTTCAAATTCCCTTAAATACAAGATTTCACGTATACATGAACAGTGGCAAAATCGGAGCTAGGGTTTCCACGTGAAATCGAAGGTTCCCTTACCTGAAAATGGTATTTTTAAACTCGTATGGTCCTCACGAACACAATGATGATCTTAAAACCTTTGATCTACAAGGTTTGAGAGGGTTTCTGGGTTGGTCCGTATGAAAAAGGGAGAAAGAGAGTGAGAGTCTGAGAGAGAAAGAGCACGGGAAGGAGAGAGAGAAAAGGTGGGAGTGTGTGTGTGGTCCAAAAGTCACCAATCTAAACTAAGAGAAACACTTAGTTCTCATTGGGTCAAATAATAGAGGAATAATGCAAGTTTGAACCCCCTTAATATGCATAACACACACCACAATACTTGGATATAACTGTCATTTCATTTCGTCGAAAATTAAATATTCGGAACGGGTTGTGACATCCCAGGCTCGACTCTGCCGTAGCACAATATTGTCCGTTTTGGGCCCCGACCACACCCTCACGGTTTTGTTTCTAGGAACTCACACGAGAACTTCCCAGTGGGTCACCCTTCTTGGGATTGCTCTCGCGCGAACTCGCTTAACTTTAGAGTTCCGATGGAACCCCAAGCCAACGAGCTCCCAAAATGCCTCGTGCTAGGTAGAGATATGAATATACATATAAGGCTTACATGATCCTCACCCCTAGGCGATGTGGGATCTTACAATCCACCCCCCTTAGGGGCCCGATGTCCTCGTCAGCACACTTCTGGTTAAGGATTGGCTCTAATACCAAACTGACACACCCAGCCAGGACGCCTCGATTTGGGTCGGGGTGTGTCATTTATAATGTGCCTATGTATCTTTAAAAATGTACCACTTGTTATATGTAAAATTTACCAATTTTTTAATTTAAAATGTATCCATTGTTGTTTATATAAAATGTACGCATTGTTTTCTATATAAAATGTACCCATGTTTTTAATATAAAATTTCCCCATTTTGTGTATAAAATGAACCCACATTTTTTAATTTATAATTAAGTGCGCCATTGTACTCATACAATTATACGGGTACATTTTTTTTCAAACATTTTTATGGGTTACATATTAAAACATTTTAGTTTTGGAACAATGTTGAAATTGTACTCCATAGATAATTATATATAGCCAATGTACGGGTACATTCTTTTAACATGTGACAACTATTTTATCATTCATAACAATGTTTTCTTTTGGTCAAATTCATAACAATGTTGGATACATTCTTTTGGCACTTTTTTTAAACATTGTTTCCAATCGATTGATACATATATATGCGAACATGTACTTAACATTTATTAATATACATTTTCATAAGAAATTATATTGTTATATTGATATTAATCAATCAAAATTTTGAAAAAATTTCCATATTTTTTGTTGGCCCTTTTATTTTATAGCTCATCAGATGTGAGATTTTAAATACCATAAAATCTCAAGCTTTATTGTTGACATGGAAATATATTAATATTAATATGTTGAGGTGTACAAAGTTAAAGGACTTTGATCAAAAATTGACAACCACTAAGGTTTTAATCAATGAGTATTAGTGGCTAGGGACCGCATCCAAAGTCTCTATTTATTTTTTCAATAAATTGTATGAGACTTGTTGGATAGTTAGACAAACACTCATTATATACTTGTTTCTCATGTTTCCAATATGTTCTAGTACTTTATAATTTATATATTATTTCTATTTTGCATATATGTGTGACAACTCGTCTCTAATTTTACGGTTTTATTAATTTTAAAAGATATTTACAGCAATGAGTAGTATTATGTCGACGTAAATTATCGATTATTGTTTTATGATTCTATTCACGTTATCTGCTCATCGTGTGCTACATTGGTGTTAGTACTCACTCAGGTCAGGGCTAATCTTTCACGTGTATGTTCACATTGCATAATACGCTCACTTTGGATCCATTGTAGGTGCCAATCATGTTCTAGATTGCTATAGGTAATTAGGACTCGTATGTGATGCACATAGTACCAGTCTTCACGTAATTGTAGTACTAGAGCTTAAATCATTATTACACCCAGTCTTGTTCATGTCAGAATACCTCTGCATGAACTCGTGTCAGCATATGTTTATGAGCACTCAATGTGATATGTTTATTTCTGCGAGATATTATGATTACTGGAAGTTATATGCCTATTTACGAAATTTGTGACGAGTTGAATTCTTGAGATATTGCAAGATACGGTAAGTATTTTCATACTATACGTAGTATGAATATTTTGAAAACTATTCTTGTTTTACGACGAGGGGTTATAATGTTTTCAAAAATGTTTTTATAAAACTTTATTTTTAGGCCTACTCACCCTTGTTTTTCGCCCCTCCAGGTTTTAGTGCTGAGCTTTCGTGTCGACGAGGATTCTTGGCAAACTTTGATATATGTGATTACCTTCGACGGATTAATTCTTATCCTACTTTTACTGTACTTTACTTATGCTCTGACATCACGTGTGAATTGGGTTTATTCCCGCTCACAAACGCACTCATACATTTAGGTACTTTTAGGTTTAAATTTATTCACATTTTCCATATCACTACACTTTATGGCTTCGCCACCCTCCTGGTGTCGACTAGCACAGCTCGATTCGGAGTCCAGGTGGACATTCCGGGTCAGGGTGTATCAGTTTGGTATCTGAGCATAAGTTTGGATAGTATTACTTTCATCACTCCTTTAAAATAATAAAACTGTAAAATTAGTGACGAGTTGTCACATATGTATTCCAGTACAACTGCGTATTTTTTTTAAAGTATAAATAGAAATTTTTTTGTACGTTATATAATAAATTTAATTAAAAATTAAAAAAAAAGACCTAAGCCCCCCCCCCCAAAAAAAAATCCCAGGCGCTAGATTCCTGTCTACCACCCGATTAGTGTGCCTTTTAGAACTTTAGTTGTGACCAATACATGAGTGTTAAATTCCCACTTTAGGGTTTCAAAGGGTGGAAAAAATGGTGGTAACAAAAAAACATGGTCAGATAGTTTTTTTAGCCCGGTCCACTAATAATTGTTAGGGAGCACAAGTACAAAAAAACACTTTGCTATGCAGGTCCTTCGTCGCGCAAAGTTAAAAAAACGTTGCCCAAAAATTAGCACAACGAAACTTTCGTCGCGCGCCAACTGTCACGCCAAGACAGTTACAACAGGGTTTGTGTGACAAAAAAGTAACATGCCTTGCACAAAACTACTTTGCATGACAGACAACCTACGTCGTGCAAACCCTTTCTTTTTTTTGGCAAAAATATTTTTTTATTTAATTTTTTTATTTATAATTATTGTAATTAAATTATAAATAATAATTAATAAACCAATAAAAAATATTTAATTATAAAATATATGAAAATGTACATACAAGATGTTCGAACAAAAAAGAAAAAACTACAAGAAGTAGTCTTCTACGTTTGATACATCAAGCTACTAAATATCGACTGGGCGAAGTGGCTGGGAGGTCGAAGGTGGAGCAAGATCAGATGCTGGCATCGGGATTTGAAGGCCAGACATCTGTAAAGCTCGTAAGATCATACTCATCTTATCGTCTTGGGCCGATAACTAGGCTGCAATCTCAGCTTCCCGGATTGCTTCTTGGGCCGCAAGCTGACCTTTTAGGGTTGCCACTTCCTCCGTCAAGGCTGACCTGTCCTATGGTCGATCTGGAAAAGGAGGCACCCGTCTCACGAACCCGCGCATTCCCTGTACACCGAAAAAACTTAAATTTAGGACATGTAAATCAGACCCGTCAAATTTAGGAAAACAAATAGATGATAACAATGAATTATGATACAAACTGTCAAATCTCTACTCTTCCCATATACATTTTGTCCATATAATTTCCGTCACTTTATCCGAGGCGTGCATCAAGTACAGATAATTCATAAATCAATGATTTGAAACCAAAGTGAGGAAATAAAGTGCATGTGTTTTCCACTATAACAAGAAAACAGCTCAATGAAAAATACGAACATTGATGATAGAATGTAGTATAAATAGAGCATGTATAATAAGTTAATAACTGATTGCAAACACGAAAAAATTATGACTTACATGGGTACCGTCACGACCAGTTAAGGGAGAGTCATTGACACCAAAAGTCATGGGCACAGTTGATCACCTACACCGTCATCACATAACAATAACACCAAAAACCACAGAAGGTTCCACATTGCGGAGAGTTTTTTGGTTTTTGATTCTCAAAATGGTATATCATATGGTCCAGTAGTAAGCTCCAAAGACACAAGTGCAAATGAATTATGCAACTACCACGTTTTTCAATAGCTACTTTCTAAGTGTCATCAACACCAACAGTTTTAGTTACACATACACACACATGAAATGGAAATCCTACGATAGGGTTTAATATAAATTGAGCTATAGAACTGATCACATTTGGAGAAACTTGAACCACTAAAAACTGTTATGCACTTAATATAAACACTGCATTCACAAATGAGAAAGCACACAAGTGTAGTGTGATGTACTAAAAAATTACTTGTAGAGTTTTCCAAAAGTGTCTCTCAAGCGAGCAACATCAGCACCAACAACTTCAGCCACCTTCTTCCCATCTTGAAAGAGATGGAATGTAGGCTGCACCAGAGTACACACATCAAATTACAAACCAAATAGATCTTGGATTTTACCATATCCAAGTAAAAACATATAGAATTACTAAGAAGCAAAACCAGTAATAATCCATTCAAAAGACCATCTTAAAAAGATCATCCCACCAGTGCCATGAATAAAAGAAGCTATATATGAAGAACAAAATAAATTGGAATATTTTCTTTCAAACATAATAAGAGCAATCATTTACCACAGCAGAAATATTCAACTTGCCCAAAGTGTTTGTAAGTCCTTCCTGTATATAGAATAAACAAGGTTAGGTATGAATTTAAAAAATAAAAAAAAATCATGCTCCCAAATTAAAAATAAATGAAATTACTTTCAAACTAGCTAACCATTACATGCCAGATGGCTATAAGCCCACAAGTAAAGTTATTGCTACAACTAACTTGAGAATTGAAACCCGTAACGAATAACTAGATTTCATAATTAACAACACTTAACATATAACTAGGTTCCATAATAACTAGATTCCTATGCGAATGCGCACCTCATCGATGTCAATCTTATATGTTGTTGCATGTGGGTATTGCTCACTCAACTCTCCAATGACTGGAGATATGAACCTGCCTGCACAAGAGATCACACCAAAGTACCAATTTTAAGTTCAAAACACATAATTACGCCACATTTTGTGCCAATGACTTCGTTGCTTAAAAGAAAACATATTTCGAACTTACAAGGCCCGCACCAGACTGCAGTGAAGTAGAAAAGTGCTGGCTCAGCTCCGTCTATATGAAATTTAACATATAAATCAGATAATTTGCATAAATGTTTGATAAGTTTTCTCAAAACAAAACAATTTTGAAAACCAAGAAAAATTACCCTTAGCTTTGCTGATTGTGCTGTTGTATTCATCCTCTGACTTAATGACAACAATGTTTGAGGAACCTGAAATTCAAGTTAATCAAGAATTCAATTTAATGAGCTATTCCAAAACTCAAAATTCAAAAATTGAAACTTTGAACAATGGCTGAAACAATAACAAAAATACGGAGTACCTGAGGGCGAGGAGAGAGGTTGGAGCTGCAGAAAGCGAGGGTTTGGGGAGCGGTGGAGGGAATTGGAGGTGAAAGGGGTTGCTGTGGGCGGTGGAGGTGGTGAGGTGGGGATTGAAGAAGCCAGGGTTTGGAAAGAACTGGAAGGAAGGCTGTAATGATGAAGAAGCGCGGTGCAGAACTTGCTGTGATTGCCGAGCAATTGCCGTGCCATGGCTACACCTGAATTCCTTGCCATTTTTCTCTCTCGCATTGGTTCTTTATGTATCAAGCAAAACCCTAACTGTAAATTCAAAATCCAAAACCCTAATTTATAAAATGCAAAAAAATATTCAACAAATTGTCTTACCTTAAGATTGGAGTGGCGAAGTGAGCACTTAGCAGCTAGTGGTGGAGGACGCGACTGGAAGGGGGAAAACGATGGTGATTGGCGACTTGGTGAGCGGTGACTGGTGAGAGGCCATGCAAGAGAGCTTGGGGAGGTGGAAGGAGAGGACGACGCACCTGGTTTTTAGGGTTTCGTTCGGCTTCCGCTATTCTGCGAGAGAGAGAGAGAGAGAGAGAGTGAGAGAGAGGGACGAGAGACCGACTGTTTTTCAATTGCAAGGTTTGCACCTCCATTTTGTCTAAAGTCATTTACTTTGAGCGACACAGCCTGTGTGTCGCGCAAACGTTCTTTGCACGACACAGGTGCCCCTACGTCACGCAAAGCTATTTTACGCGACGAATGCACACCTTTGTCGCACAAGATTTTGGAAAAATTTAAACAAAGTGCATATTTTTTACAGTTAAACCGCCAAAATTTTAACACATTGCATGACGCATGCATACATTAAGACATCGCACAAAGTTGGTTTATGCAACGACCCATCGTGACGTCGAGCAAGTTTTTTTTTTTTTTTAAAATTATTATAACATTTACTCAAAATATGACTTTACTCCCTTCAAATTCAATTTTTTACATAAAACCCACAATAATATGTTTTTCTAACAAAAACCTGATCCGAACTACAATAATAAAATTAAAGCTACTTAATAAATATATATATCATTCAATTTCTTAAGTGCTATACGTACAATATATATATATACACACCATTCAACTTGTGGGGATACGCATTCTACGAAACTAGTTTCAATGATCGAACCGTCAAACTTGTTTGCATATGCTTCGAGATTGCATACGCCAAAAATCACAAAATATAAACATTCAGAGATCAAGTAACGAGACATAACTTTTTCGACAGTTATAAACGAAAAATCACGATTTAATGATAGTTTTAACTTCGATTTTGATGATCTTTTATAGCTACACTCTTTGATCTTATATGAATATATTGAATGAATTCGATCTTTAATTTAAAATATTTACACAAGTGGATACCACAAAATCTTATGTTATACTTAATGAAAGTATAAATAAACTCTAAGTGTTGGTGAATCTATTGTTTTGTTGGGATACGCATTGTATGAAACTAGTTTCAACGATCCAACCATCAAACTTCTTTGTATATACTTCGAGATCGCATACGCCAAAAATTGAAAAAAACAAACATTCAGAAATCAAGTAAAGGGACAAAACTTTTCGATGGTTATAAACGAAAAATCACAATTTAACGGTAGTTTTAACTCTGATTTTGATGATTTTTTATAGCTACACTCCTTGATCCTATATGAATAGAATGAACTAATTCAATCGTCAATTTACAATATTTACACAAGTGGATACAACAAAATCTTATGTTATACTTAATGAAAGTATAAATAAACTCCCAAGTATTAGTGAATCTATTGTTTTGATGGGAGATGCATTGTACAAAACTAGGTTTAAAGATCCAACCATCAAATTTGTTTGTATATACTTCGAGATCACATACGCCAAAAATCACAAAAAAAAACAAGCATTCAGAGATCAAGTAATGAGACAAAACTTTTCGACGGTTATAAACGAAAAATCACGATTTAACGGTAGTTTTAACTCCGATTTTGATGATTTTTTTATAGCTACACTCCTTGATCCTATATGAATACAATGAACTGATTCGATTGTCAATTTAAAATATTTACACAAGTGGATACAACAAAATCTTATGTTATACTTAATGAAAGTATAAATAAACTTCAAGTGTTAGTAAATTTATTGTTTTGATGGGATACACATTGTACGATACCAGTTTCAACGATCCAACTGTCAAACTTGTTTGTATATACTTCGAGATCGCATACGCCAAAAATGGCAAAAAACAAACATTCAGAGATCAAGTAACGGGACAAAACTTTTCGACGGTTATAAACGAAAAATCACGATTTAACGGTAGTTTTAACTCCTATTTTGATGATTTTTTATAGCTACACTCCTTGATCCTATATGAATACAATGAATGAATTCGATCTTCAATTTAAAATATTTACACTAGTAGATACCACAAAATCTTATGTTATACTTAATAAAAGTATAAAATAAACTCTAAGTGTTAGTGAATCTATCATTTTAATGGGTCTAAATTTTGCATTTGGTTATTTCATAAAGGAGGTAAAGAAACAATCTTTTATCGTACGTATTATGCAGCATTTCACATAAAAACTAGCAAGAGTCAATAAAAGTCTAAATGAACTCACCAAAGGAGTAGGTCCTATGACAACCCTTCCTTGGTCATTGTATTGGGATCCATGGCAGGGGCATAAGAACTTGTTCTCCGCCTTGTTAAATGGCACGACACAACCAATGTGAGTGCAGACGGCATTGATTCTGTATGTGGCAAGAGTTTTATCTTTCTCCACAACAAGCACAGCAAACAAATCAAGTTAATTTAGTACCTTTTATTAATATATTTCCCAAATTTCTCTCTGTTAGCTTTGCACGACGCAACAAGCACATCAAACAATTCAAGTTAATTTAGTACCTTCCAATAATATATTTATTGAAACCGGTTTGTATGGATGTGTTGTATATATGAGTTGTCATCCTCACTTTAGCTAAGTCATGGGCTAAAGTCACTTTCCATAGCTTGTCATTCACCTTACATCAACCTTTCTTAGTTGCTTGTAAAAGTTTCTTTACTTGTAATTTGGTTTTTACTTTTCCACTTGTTAAGGCAGATTTTAGGGACTGTGTTTGTGTAATTATCCTACAATCTATTGTAGCTTTCTTTTGGCTCTCTATAAGAGTTGTCTTCACTCTCTTGTAATCTTCATAATGAAATATACCACAAATATTCAAACCAAAACTCAACATGGTATCAGAGCAGGAACCATAGGGTCCTGACTCTGTTCATTTTTTTTTACTTCTTCATTTTCTCATCATCGATAAAGATAGCAGAAGAAAATGTGTCTAGTGCAGACAGTGCCTTATCATCCTCTCCAAACTTAACCCAAGGGGTTAAGAACAATCCAAATCAACGACTCTGCTTGGTGCTCCTGAATGAGTTCAACTACCTTCCTTGGTCAGTAGTTGTGTCACTTGCTCTAGGAGGAAGATCGAAGCTAGGTTTTACCAACTTACGATGCATGGCATGCTACTGATCAGCTGGTCATGTCCTGGTTACTTAACTCCATGGAGCCAAAACTGTTTGAGTTTTTCAGCTACTCAAAGTCTTCCCTTCTCCTATGGGAGTTTGTCAAAGACATGTATGGCAGCCAAAATAACTCAGTTCGCATCTTTCAACTGAAGAAGAATATGGCTAGTTTAAAGCAAGGTGATCACTCATTTGTTCAACACCTTGGAAGTATGAAATCCATGTGAACTCGATATGTATCATTCACACACGACTGATTACGATGTGCTACTGAAGAGGGATGATGAAGACAAGGTGTTTCAACTCTTAGCAAGCTTGGGAGCAGAGTATGAAGACATGCGTAGTCACTTGTTAATGACTCAAGAGCTGCCCTCCTTTACCAGTGTGTGTCATGCAGTCCAGAGAGAGGAAACTCAACGAAGAGTGATGAACGTTGAGCCCAAATCCAACTCTGAAGCTAGGGTTTTCACGACAAATCACAAAGTAACTGGTGATAGGTTGCTTGGCAAGAAAGCAGACTGGAAATGGTCTTATTGCAACATGAAGGGACATTTGAGAGAAAAATGTTGGATTCTTCATCCGGAGTTAAAGCCGAAGTTTGATAGGAAAGGCAGGATGATCAAAGATGAGAAGGGTGTAGACACTCCAAAAGCATTTCATTCAGCTTGTTCCTCAACTGATGGGATGGCCAATTTCTCAACAAATCATGTGTCCTTGATCAACCAGTTTGCTGCTATTCTTCAAAAGAAGCAAGGAAACACTGAACCTGATGAAATGACACTTGAAAACCCTACTACAATGCTAGGAAAATTTGCTGGATTCTTGGCTGACTTGGAGAACACATCGAAAGGCAATATTCCAAGTATTATTAGTGCCATTTCCACTGCTCTTAATGCAAATGTTACACATGATTTTTGGATTATTGATTCTGGTGCCACTGATCATATAACTAATAACCCTTTAGTCTACACGATTTTCAAATAACTATTGATCCAATTCATGTATCTATTGCAAATGGGAAAGGAGAACCTATTCTAGGAAAAGGAAAGATTAGATTGCTAAGTGAGCATACTGATTCCACTGCTCTCTATGTACTTTTCTTTCCTTTTCAACTTTTGTCAATAGGAAAAATCACAAAAACCTTAGTCTATCTTGCCATATTTTCCCCTCACAATGTTGTGTTTCAGGATCGAGTTACTCAGAAGAAGATTGGTGAAGGGTTCTTCTTGAATGGACTCTACCATCTCTCAAATAAGTCCAATTTTGTCAAAAAGCTCAATGTCATCTTAAGTCAAGTTCAGGAACATCAACTCTGGCATCAATACCTTGCCCATCCCTTAGAACATGTGATGATCAAGTTGTTTCCCTTTTTTTGCAAAAACACAACTTGTCAAATGTCAATAGCCACTAGACTTCCTTTTGTTTCCTCTAATTCTAGAACTAGTAAACATTTTGAGCTTGTTCACTCTGATATTTGAGGTCCTTCTCATGTAGAATCCTTTGATGGGTATATTTATTATGTTACATTTATTGATGACTATTCTAGAGTAACCTGGTTGTATCTTTTAAAACTTAAAAGTGATTTGTTTGATGTTTTTAAGGACTTTCACAACCTAATCACCAATCAATTTTCGTCTAAGTTATATATGTTAAGATCAGATAATGGTATCGAGTACACTTCCAATAACATGAGTAATTACTTGAGCAATCATGGCATTTTGCATCAAACTAGCTGTGTTGGTACACCACAACAAAATTATGTGGCAGAGAGAAAGAATCGAGACTTATTGGAGAAGACTCGATCACTTATAATCCAAACGAATGTTCCTAAGAAATTTTAGTCTCAAGCCCTACTCACTGCCACGTACAACATTAATAGACTGCCAACTCAGGTGTTGAATACTAAATCTCCTTTCGAAGTCATGAAAGGCAGTCCTATAAACTTGTCTCACCTCAGGACGTTTGGTTGTACTTGTTATGTGCACATTCAAGCTCTCTATCGTGACAAACTTGTGTTGGAAATATGCCCTGAAAGTCAATCTTTGGAAGAAACCTTTCAGGACAATGAATGGATGTATAGATGACTCTTATACATCAAATGGCAAAGATACTAATTAGGACTATCTCTATAAACGATATATGTCCTAAATAGTGAATCCATGGACAATAGATCGATTGAAGAAGTAATCTAATGATGTTAGACTACAGAGACCTTCTTCACATAACCATCATGTCCAAAAGGTTCCTGGTCATAGGATTGTTGGAGGGATACTGACAATGCATAGACCGGTACATACTATGTCCGCTTCAATTGGAAGGATGGAAAGTCTCATCCCATTCGTGTAGTGACACTAAGACAAGTATGTAGGTGCTCATTAAGGGAATGAGTTCACTGAACACAATCGAACGAGAGTACTTGCATGGAGGTCTACTCACATGTCAGGCAAGTAACTCTAATTGTTGGAATAATGTAAGTAGTCCTTTGACCTGAGGCATCATCGTTGTCTTGTGGTTAAGTACTTGATCTTTGATTATGTCAAAGTCACTCCATTCGCGGGTGTCCACGACATAGTTAGGGTTAAGCCACTTAGTCATGAAGGCAAGTGAATGCGCAACAAGGAATCTCTAATCCTCATTAAGAAAGGAAGAATACTCTAAGATATGATTCGGGAATCTTCGGCCAAAGTATCGAGCATAATAAAGGAAAGCGTTCCTATACGACTCAATTGAATCATATAAGAAGGAATAATCACATTAGGGGTTTGACATAATATATCCATACCCTAGTGATGTGATTGAGAGTATTGTTTTAGAGAAGGATCGAATTACATTGTAATTCCAACTGAATAGGTTCTCCGAACAACTTCTACATTAGCTTGGGTAGCCATGATATATCGTTAGATGTCACTCATGGCTTGTGAGTTCTTCTAGATGATTAAATGTAATCATCAAAGAAGAAGGTGAATTAAAAGTAGGCTTTAATTCACTAAGTGATTGGATTAAATATAATCAATTGGATTGGTTCCAATCACCTTAAAAGTAGGTTTTAATTCACTAAGTGATTGGATTAAATATAATCAATTGGATTGGTGCCAATCACCTCACTGCCTTGCTAATTAAAACCTAAAACGATTGTTCACCAATACACTCTTGTAGTGAGTAATTACTGGATGATGGAAATAATTAATTAGATTAATTAAGTGTTGTGATTAATTAGAAAGTCTAAAGAAATCATAAAAGCGATATAAGATCGTTTTGGGCTTAAAGAAACGTTCGGGTTTAATTGGGCCCATTGGGCCTAAACCCATTGGGCTTTTATTCAAGCATTGGATGACTTGAAATAAATAAAAGCCCAAAGCCCAAACAACACAAAGGGGGCCGGCCAAAGGAGGGATAGAAAGGTCAAATGTTGACTTGTTTCTTTTTGGCTATAAAAGGAACTTTATAGCAAATGTTTCATTAGGGTTTTTGGGTGTTCAAAACAACTAAAGAGAAAAAAGAAAATAACTCTTTCTTCCACACCAAAGGCCGGCCACCATAGGGAGATTTTAGCTAATCATCTTTTTCTCCCTTTGGTTATTCCTTTATCCTTCTCATTACACTAGTGGGTGAGGATCTTTAGAGGTTTTCAATTTTGGAAACTTGAAAAGAACCTAGGAGCACTCATTCTAAACAAAGTGGATGAGGCAAGGAAGGAGTGTCACGCCCCGGACCTGGGGTCGGTAGTAAAAAAACTCGATCCCGAGTCCGAAACGCGAGTTAAAAGCTAAATAAATAAAAGGAAATTGACACGGGTTGGAAAATTAAACTCCTCTTATAAAAACAAATCCAGAATTCTTTACAAAGCTAAAAATAAATAAATACAATTCTAGCCTCACATCTAATTCGATCTCATCCCGTCTACTCTTTTGACAGTTTAGTTAGTAAACCTGCATAACAATAGAGGGGTGAGCTTCAACAGCTCAGTAGGGACATAACCTTATCACAGTAAATTGACAATATTAAATTAAGTGTAATAAAATCATGTAATCAAGTACCAAATCATTATCATCAACAATGCATGAGTGCAATACAATACTCTTCATCTCTACCCGTTAATTCATATAATAAAACACGCGGACCTGCACGTCCCATACCGTGCATTTTACCTCTGCAGTGGTGGTTCGAATATTTTAATATACAAATTAACCCCATGTAACTCAATCATCCCAATTTCCCCTTTTGTTAGTCATCTTGCCAAAACCCTTCGTCGCCAGTCCCGAATTACCCTTAAAGAATCTGTGCACTGTGGGCTCACCTGAGACCTGGTACCTGCTAAGAGTTTGGCTCAACTACACAAAAGATTATTTCCAACTACCCTCATTTCCAGAATTCCTTCCTCAACACCAAAACTCCTACCACATGACCAATTATGAATGATTAACATATACCACAGTATATTCTCAACCAATAGCATTTCATCAATAATTCCATAACCAATAACAAGTAAACACGCAGGGGCATTATTTATCCAATTAGCAAGCCAAATCACATTAATCAACCAAGAAGATCGATAATAATAATATAATGTTTCACGAAATTTAATAAAGTCAATCTCCGTAAAGGTCCGCCGTATTTCCCCTACCTGGAGTCCAAAGCAAACAAGCAGTGTCCCTTACCAACACCTTGATTACACACAACCGTCGCGGTAACTGGAGTTCCTAATCCAACAATAAAAATATATCACTATATAATCCATTATATAGCACCAAATGTAAAATCCTATATTTTGGAATTCCCAAGTTAGGCTTAGCATCTCTTATTCCAATTTGGATCTTCAGATTTATATAATTTCACTTAAGTACTCAAATCTTTAAAAATAAGCTTCCTGTCCCTAACCTGTACAGCAAGTACAATCTGTCCGAAAAAAGTTCCCAGAATTATAGTTTACCCCAAACTTTCGGGTAATTACAAAACTGTCCTAAATGTTCAGAGAACTGTAAAATGGCCCCAAATCTGAAACTCATCTTTCAAGTTGGTCCCTACTGCAGAAACAGAAACAGTACAGCCGACCATGTTTCCAAATTCATGTTGCTCCTCTTTCAGTCCAAAATATTTCCAACTTCAATTCAAATACTCATATTTATACGATTCAATTACTTCAAAGTAGGCCATCATTCCTTTTAATTTAGTCGAATAATATCAATACCCCAAATCCACAAACTTGAACATGGATGGGGTTTAACAGCAACTAACCCATAGGCAAATTTATCTCAATTCATTCAATTAAGCTTCCAATACGCTTAAGCCATCACGAATAACACATGAATTCGAAATATTACGCTGTGTAGTAATAAATCCAAAAATGGCAACTTCCAAAATCTGTAGTAAATCCATAAATTAGTACCTGAGATTTGTAGTACTCTTCCCCATAAATTCGTAAGCGAAAACGGAATCAAATCCGGACTTCCAAATCAAAATTTATGAGGAAAACGGTATTTGATTTGGACAATGAGATGAAGCTCCTTGCTTCCTTCCTCTCTGCATCTTTCTGCGAAGAGAAGAAGAAATATGAAGCCTTAGTTCCATCTGAAATGATCCACCGCTTCTTCTCCTTTTATTTATCTCTTTTGGTGCAATGGTAGCTTTCCAAGTGGCAACACAAAGACTTATGATTTCTCTTTAATTTATCATATTTGACATGTGCCATCATATGATGATAACACCACCAGCATGTCATCCAAATGCTGGCTTCTCCAGCAGCTAGCACTTGGCAATCTTGCCACTCGTTGGCTGTCATGTGGTGTTCTAACATTTGTCAGGCTTGGACATTCTATCAAAATTTCATTAAAGTCCCGAAAACTAATCCGAAAAATGATACGAACTCGAAATAACGTTTACTACCTTCATATGAAAACCTTTTTGATAAATAAGCACAACATATTTTTTTTTTTCCAAATATTTCTCTTTTTTAATAATAAATTATTGGGATATTACAAGGAGGCTAGGCTCAAGGAGTTCAAGGAGCAAAGGGCTTGGAGGTGGTCCATCCTTGGTCTAAGATCTAGATCAAGAGGTATAAAACTACTCCTAAACTTTGTTCTTATATAAGTTTGGTTTTGATGCATCTTACATAAACCTATGCATCTTGAAGGGGATTTGCATGACTATTGCTTTGATATTATTTGATAACATGCTTCCGTTGCTTTCGTATATAAATTTTGAATTGTATATGCATGCTAGTCATTAGAAATTCCGCATGAATCTCATAGAATTCCTTTCAACTTGACCCTCGAGCTGTCAAATGTATGTTTATGGGATACGCCAGTTCTTAAAAGGGTTATAAAGTGTACAACCCTAACATGGGGAAACTGGCAGTCTTTAGAGATGTGCGATTTGATGAATATTCACCTTATTTCCACAAAGGGTTGGAGACTAATGCTAATATGGAAGATCTTATGGACCTATTTCCACTACCTATTCCAGCAGAAATTCATGAAGCCACTCATTCTCATATCATCACTGAGAATTCTCAACTCACTGAGAGTGTAATTAATGCAGTGCCAAGCTCCTCTGGACCATCAGAAGCTCAACCAAATCAGCAAGCTATAAGTGCACCTAGAAGAAACCCTACACGAGATAGACATCAACCAGTGAGGTTACAAGAGTATGTTACTTACACTGCAAGGCATCCTATCTCTGCAGCCATTTCTTATCATAGATTCTCATCTTCCCATACTTCTTTCCTTAACAAATTGTCCTATACTTTCGAACCAAGGAATTTTCATGAACCCACATGCATGCCTGAGTGGCAAGATGCTATGACTAAAAAGCTTTAAGCTCTGAATGACAACTAAACATGGAGTGTGGTGGACCTTCCAAATGGCAAGAAGTTCGTGGGAAATAGGTGGATATATAAGACCAAATTCAACTCTAATGGAAGCATTGAAAAACACAAGGCACGATTAGTAGTTCAAGGCTTTACTCAAACCTATGGGATTGACTATAAGGAGACCATTGCTCCTGTTGCCAAAATGAACACAGTGAGGGTATTGTTGTATGTGGCAGTCAATAATGCATGACCTTTATTCCAAATGGATGTGAAGAATGCATTTCTTCATGGGGATCTTGAAGAAGAAGTGTACATGAAGTTGCCTTCTGGTCATCCAAGAGCAAAGGAACCCAACAAGGTCTATAGACTTCATAAAGCCATATATGGTCTCAAACAGTCCCCTTGAGCTTGGTATTCGAAGCTTAGTTCAGTCCTTGAAGCTGTAAGGTTCAAAATGAGTCATGCTAACTCTTCTTTGTTTGTTCGAAGTGGTATTGCTGGCAAATTGGTTGTGCTTATATATGTTGATGACCTAATTATTACAGGTGACAATATAAGTGAAATCAAGGCGCTTAAGCAGCCACTTCACCAAAAATTTGCCATTAAAGACTTGGGGCCCTTGAAATACTTTCTTGGAATTGAGGTACAACCTTTTCAAAGGGATTGTTCTTGAATCAAAGAAAGTATGTTCTCGATCTTCTAGATGAAGCTAACATGATGGAATGTAAACCAGCTTGAACACCTCTAGCTAGCAAACTTTAGTGGCATGAAAAAGGTGAACCTCTCTCGGACCCTAGTGTTTATCAGCGAATGGTTGGGAAACTTATTTATCTCATCATTACTAGGCCTGATATCTCATATTCAGTTAGCCTAGCCAGTCAGTTCATGCACTCTCTTACTTTAGTTCACTGGGAAATCGTCAAGAGAATACTTCGATATCTCAAAGGCTCAGTAGGAAGGGGATAATTATGAAGAACAATGGATCAACTCACATCTTGGCCTACACAAATGCTGACTGGGCTGGAAATGCCCTTGATCGAAATCCATAACAGGTTTTTGCACATTTGTTGGAGGGAACCTTGTCACTTGGAAGAGCAAGAAATAAACTATTATTGCTCGATCTAGTGCCGAAGCTGAGTATAGGGCTATGACAGCAACAGCCTGTGAACTCATATGGTTGAAAGGTCTTCTTTCCGAGCTCGGATTCACAAGCATGACACCTATGTCCTTGTATTGTGATAACCAAGCTGCCATGCACATTGCCTCCAATCTAGTATTCCATGAAATGACCAAACATATTGGAGTTGACTGCCATTGTATTCGTGCTCAAGTTCAATCCAAGGTGATAGACACCATGTTCACACGCAGCCACGATCAACTTGCTGATTTATTCACAAAAGCACTAGACTCTACTCAGTTTCAGCGTTTGTTGTGCAAGCTTTGATCAATCAATCCCCTTGATCCAGCTTGAGGGGGTGTATTGAAACCGGTTTGTATGGATGGGTTATATGTATAAGTTGTCATCCTCACTTTAGCTAAGTCATGGGCTAAAGTCACTTTCCATAGCTTGTCATTCACCAGTCACTTTCCATAGCTTGTCATTCACCTTACATCAACCTTTCTTAGTTGCTTGTAAAAGCTTCTTTACTTGTAATTTGGTTTTTGCTTTTCCACTTGTTAGGGCATATTTTAGGGATTATTTTTATGTAATTATCCTACAATCTATTGTAGCTTTCTTTTGGCTCTATAAGAGTAAGAGTTGCCTTCACTCTCTTGTAATCTTCATAATGAAATATACAACAAATATTGAAACCAAAACTCAACAATATTTCCCAAATTTCTCTCCGTTAGCTTTGCGCGACGCCACCTCCGTCGCACAAAACTATTTTGCACAATAGAGGGGTACCTACGTCGTGCAAAGTTGAGAAAAAAGTGGTAAGGTATTCTTGCTTTGGCGTCAAAATCTTGCACGACACACAAGAGGTGTCACGCAAACGGCGTTTACGCAAAGGCCGTTTGTACGACGTTTTGTGTTTAGCGTTGCGCAAACATACTTTGCGCGACGAAATTTGCTCCATCGCGTAAACATGTTTTTGTTCTAGTGGAGAAACACTTCAAAACAAACTGTGGACATGAAAACTTTAAATGTCAAATGCTGCCACGATAATAACACTTGGAACTAGGTTTTTTTTGTTTTCCTTTAAAATGTTGCTTTAAATATAATTTTCTTTTCCATGTCTATTTAGAGAAGATGATGAAAGAATTTCATTCATATATACGGAAACTCAAACGTTAGGAAATTAGACCATAAAGTATTTGTGTAATTTCCATGTTTGGTTTACAGTAATGAGAATACAAAACTTGTTCACTTACTTTTATTAGGGTAAATTGGACAAAAACAATGCATAAAAGTTTTCCCAACGTAAGTAAGGAAAATGTATGAAATTCCCTCTGCATGTGAAGTTCATACTCATTTGACAAGTATCACATTCCCAACAATATGTTTACAAAACATCGGAATGGTATCTCATACTCCTTACCATAATCCGAATTTACAAATCGCAAATCAAACGATAGTTTAAGTATTTTTTTTTTCTATAAAATGGAGCTCTCGGAACTTATTTGTGAAAAGCCGTCCCATACTTAATCGAATACTAATCAAGTAGTACCAATTACATGTTTTTTTTTTCTTTCATTGAAGGGAATCGATACTCATTATATTGCAAGCTCACTTTCTTTCACTATTTACTATAAGTCTGTAACCCAAGGGTTTTTGTTCTAGATATTACATGCATGTTCAAACGACTGCTAGATTTCAATGTTAACATCAGACAGTCTATTGGATTACCAAACACATGCATTAATATCTTTGAAATGAGAGGTTTTACAGGTTAAAGTTCAGCATCCACACAGATCAGATAATTAATGATGTTGGTTCGATCAGGTAGTATTGGATCTTAGGTTTTTTCTCTCGTTTGGTCCCGAAAAGGAAAACAAAAACCTTTTTCACACAAATACCAGAATTCTATAGTCTCTAGGAAAATCATAGCTGGAGCACTCTCATCATATATGAATATCGCAGATGTGATACATAAGCCCCTACGTACTCTCAAAGATAGGAATATATATATAAATTTTTATTATAACCCATTATTTCCGTTTTGTCACCTTGTCGCAAAATTTGTCACGTTTTGTTGGCATTGCATATGTTCTCACAAATGTGATACGACCGCCAATTAAAGTCAATGTAGTGCGTATATGTTTTTGTTTTATTTGGCTGAAAATTATGCATATTGATATAGAGAATTGTTATTAGCATGCAGTTAACCGAATTAATCTGCATATATTTAATTTTATTTTCTTAATTATAATTAATACGTGTAACAATATAAATTGTTAGTTATTTACAAGTTATCGTGTTTCCACCACATGAAAACAAAACCTGATTAGTTTAAGTGTCCCTTTGGAGAACAATTGAGGGGTACCATTTGGAGAAGGCAGCAATTACTACTTTGGTGCTCTCCTTGGGCTGCCTCATTTGTACTTTTTTTTTAGCAATCACTCATATTAGTACTATGTTATGTAGCTTTTGGGGAAGAAATGATGCAGCCCAAGGAGAGCACCAAAGTAGTAATTGCTGACCCAAACCACATGAAATGAAGCCATACCAACTCATATTAGTACTATGTTATGTAGCTTATGGCTTCACACAAACCGAGAACTGACCCAAACCAACTCGCCACTGTTGATTAACCGACTTGATTGGTTTTAA